GCCCCTGCCCCTGCCCCTGCCCCTGCCCCTGCCCCTGCCCCTGCCTAGCTACAGCTTGTAGCTCAATGATTCCCACTGGGCTCATCTTGACACCAAATCTTCTACTCTTTCATTAAGAAGCCCATTATCATTTCTTTTCTTTATATCCAGACTTTATTCCATGGAGGTCACACTGAACCCTCCCCTAGGTACGTTTCCCACATCATGCCTACCCAGAGAACCCAGTTGCTGTCCACGTGCTCAGCTCAGAGGTATCTCTCAGTATCATCACAGCTAGCAGTGCTGGAAGGAGAAGTTTTCTGGTGACCATACAATTTTGCTGATTTTTTGATATATCTTCTCAATGTTTAGTTAGCATGCTTATAATATTGGTGAAATTCTTGTCTCCACCAGAGTTGAAATCATTGGAATTCGGGTCCTGTCTCTATTGCTACTGAATGCCTTCTGTTATGGATAGACCCCATGGTAGATACTCAGAAAGGACTGAAATGGGAAAAAGGAGAAAGAGAAGAAGGAAGATGAGGTGGGTAGAAGGATGGAAGGAGGATGTAGAGATGGAGGGAGGAGGGAGAAGGGCAGAGAGGGAAGGAAAAAAATGAAGCCAATTTCTGGATAATGGACAGTGACATTTTTAAGAGGTTTGTTTGAACCTAATTCCTGGTTAGAACTAAATTAAATAATGTTGACATCTAGAAATACTGACAGCTCAAAGTTTGAGCTATGAGCCTGGGGTTTTTTTTTTTCTGATATACTCTCCTAAAATAAAAGAATATTTTGGAGAAACATGGAGACAATTTACAGGCCAAAGATTTGGAAGTTGAAGAGGGCTTGCATTAGCCATGCACTTCACTGTAGAACTGTCAAGATAATACTTACTTCACTGTAAGTCCCCAGCCTGAGCTGTGATGTCACAATGGATGGAAACAATAAAGCCAAGAAGAGCTGAAAACAGGAGCCCAGGCAGCAGTGCCACACTGCTGTAGCTTCCAAAGCTCATGACATGATGTCTAGACAGAGGCACATGGTAATGCTATCACAGAGGCCAGACACTGAAGGAACACCAGGACCGCCATTAAATCACCACCAGACAACATGAAAAATCCTCTCTCATCATTTTAATGAATTTTTAAGTGTAGTTCATTTTTGATGATTATACAAGTAATATAGTCACATTAAAGAAAGTATAACAACAATTATAAAAATATTATTTCAAATCTTACCACCATTAATATTTTATTATATTTCTTTTCATTCTATTTTCACAATATAGTTGGGGGCATACTGAATATCATGTTGTATATCTTGATTTTTTGCACTTAATACAGAAGAGATATAAAGTATCTATAACTGTGTATTGCTTTACTACCCTACAATAATAGATACTTGAGCCCTGTGTTTTTCTGAATTGCAGGTTATTTACTGACGATGTGTCCTGTAGAATGGAGTGGATGATTTTAAAGCTTGTGACACATATTGCCAAATACCTTTCCCAGGGAGTTGTATCCATTTTTAAATGATGTAATGCTTATGATTTGTGTGATTCATGCCTCAAAGTTTTCATGTGGTGGAGACTGAGTCCCCAGCAATGTACTGTTGAGAGGATGGAATATCTACATGGTAGGATCTAGTGGACAGTGTTATATCATGGAACACTGTCAGTATGAAGCGATTGCTGTGGGTCTCTCCATGGCTGGTCCTGTGAAAGTGGATTGTTATGCAAGAAGTGGCCTAGCCATTCATTCTCCTGCCTCTTGCTTTCCGCTTTAGCATGTATTCTCTTCTAAAATATGTTTCTACCATGGTGCCATCTGCCATTGTGTGGCTGAGCCAGAGGCCATCACCAAAGCCAAGAAATGCCAGCAGTATACTCTCAAACCTCCAGAACTGCAAGTGAAATAGCCCTCTTCATTAAGTGCCTAGCCTAGTCTTTGGCTACAACAGTGCAAACTGAATCAGTGACAGTTAAAGAGGTTCCAAGAATTCTGTGGCCCATAAAATCTTGGTAAATAGTTTCAATGTATCTCCCAGCTAGCAAGAACCTGCACAATCAGTAAGCAACTTACTGTGGAGTACCAGAACTCGGGAGCATGTGAGTCTAGTCTGGCTTTCCTTCTAACTTGCTTGCTATTATTAGCAAGTTACTCTGAATGGCTTGGTTTTCCTCATCTATTAAAATGGCAAAGTCAAGTAGTGTTGCTGCACGTCTCCCCAAAGTTAATTCTCTAGTGTACCAGTATTTAAATTATGTATAGGGGTGGGGTTCAGGGAAAAGAAAAGTTCCGTAGTCTGATTCTTTTGAATAAACGGCCTACAGTGTGCCATCCAAGGACGTTTAAAATGCCTTACAGTGCCTGGGGTTCTGCACCTTACTTTGCTCATCCCATTATTTCCCCCAATTATTTTGAACTCAGACCAATTGGTTTTTTTACACATCTGTAAGACTAGTGAACACAATTGAAGAAACACTTAGATAACAGAAGTTTAGAGTCCCATCAACCGCGCATCTGATCCCGGGCTTTGCCACTCACAACTGAAAACAGAGAGAGCAGCTCGGTGACCTTCTGAATGTGGACTGAGATTATGTATGGAACCCTGTTCAGCAGCCTAGGACACATGCCAGTGTCTTCTGTCCTCTCAGCTCAGACATGTACAAGCCTCTCCTGCCCTGGACAGGGCTGTGGACCACTGAGATACTGTGTATATATGTGTGTGTGTGTTTGCACATGTGTGTATGTATGTACATGTTTGTGCATGTGTGAATATGCACATGTGTGTGTATGTATGTATATATGTACATGTGTATGTAAGTATGTGCATCTGTATCTGTGTGTGTACATGTGTGTATGTGTGTACATGTGTACATAAATGTCTGCTTGTGTGCCTGGGTGTGGGGGGGGGAGGTGAGTGTGGGTGTGTACATGCACAAGCCAGAGTCAGTATTAGATGCCTTCATGAATTGCTCTGCACCTAAGTTTTTAATTCAAGGTCTCTCATTGAACCTGGCACTCATTGACTGGCTAGACTGGCTGCCCAGCAAGCCACAGAGACCCAACCCTTTCTATCTCTGGCACAGGGATTACAGGTTTTTCACCTGCAGTGCTGGGGATCCAAACGCAGATCCTTCTGCTGTGCGGCAGGCACTTCTCTGGCTGAACCACCTCTTCAGCTCTCACCTGCTTTTAAAACAGGTTGGTACATTAAACAAAAAGTTTAAAATCCAGTTGAATATACAGCTGGAAAGTCAAATGCTTGACCCATGAATGTAGTCACCTCAGCAACTTAAAAAACAAACGAATTACTTAGCTACTTACTTATCCTAGGCTAGTAGGTCAGAAAGCCTATCTGATCATTATGAGGAGGCCCTCCTAATACACAGGCTCAGCTTAAAGTCAAAGTCACTAATGATATAATCTTGAGCTAATTCGTTCAATTACATAGGAATTATATCGTGAGATGAAGATGTTTTAAATGTGGCTTTGAAATGGCTCCAGCACTAGCATGCCCTCATTGCTAAGATCACTAGAGAGTTTTCCAACTTCTTTTGACTCTCTGTGTT